TAGAGGCCACGTCTACACTAGAGAACTTACCTCATGAAGGAGAGACACTAAAAGCACATGCTATACAGCCTGGCAGATTGTAAGGCTTCTCAGTGGGCAGGTGTCGCTCATGCTCTCTGCTAATAAATATTTCTGCCATTCTAGTCTCAAGCTGCTTCTGAGCTGAGAATGCCAGTTGTGAGGAACAAGGCAAACCCTGTGGTGGCTTTGTGTTGCAGACAAAGGTCCACCAGAGCTTGTCAACTCATTTTCATTTGGGTCCTGATGAGTCATGGCTTGGTTTCCAGATGTTAGAGGCCACGTCTACACTAGAGAACTTACCGCGGCACAGCTGTACCAATGTAACTGCATTGCTGTAAGATCTCCAGCGTAGCTGCTCTATGCTGAGGGAAGAGAGATCTCTTGTCTACATAAACTTCCCCCAACAAGAGGCAGTAGCTATGTCAGCTTTCCTGCCAACATAGCACTGTTCACACTGGTGCTTCTTTGGTGTAACAGTGTTTTTTTCATGTCCCTCACCAACATAAGTTATACCAACAAAAGTGATAGTGTAGACATATCCACAGTCTAATGAAGTAACTCCCAAAACAACAACAATCAGGACCAATGTCCAAAAAACAAGACCCACCCAGAACTAAAACTTTCCCACTACATCCATCCAGCTACTTCATTTTAGAAAAAGCCAAGGAGAACAATTGTGTAGATACTTATTTGTATGCACCAAATGTCTGTATGCAAATACGTTCCCTATGTGGCAAATCATGTGTTTCCACTTCCCAAAAGTCTATACAAGGGCAAGAAGAAACTGGATAAGAGAGTGCTATTCAGTCTAGCAGATAAAAGTCTAACACAATTTGCTGGCTGCAAGTTGAAACTCAACAATTTCAGATGAGAATTAAGGTGCGAATTTTTAACAGTGACTTAAAAGAATTTACCAAGGGTTGTGGTGGATTATCTCACTGGCAGAATTTGCCAAGGGTTGTGGTGGCTTCCCTGTCACTGGACACTTTTAAATCAAAACTGGATGTTTTTCTAAAAGAGATGCTTTAGTTCATATGGGAATTAGTTCAGCAAAGTCCAATGGGCCGTATTATACAGGAGGTCAGATTAGATGATCACAGTGGTCCCTTCTGGCCTTAGAATCTACAAAATTTATGAAGGGAGAGGAAGAACATTGACTGACTGTTGTTGCCTAGGTTACCAATATACCCTGGACAGGAATGTGCTGGCTCTGACCCAGGCAGAGGGCAAAAAGCAACAGTATTCCTTACATAGGTTTAGATAATTCCATTAAGGAATGTAGAATTCTCAGGTCAGGTCCTGGCAGAGAAGTAACAGAGGGAAACTGATTTTCAAATGTATCGTTATTTATTTGTTTAGTTGTAGTGCCTTGAGGCCTCAATCAGGGTTCAGGTCCCCATTATGCTAGCTGCTGTACACACAAATACACAACACAAAAATTTACAATCTACGTAGGTGAACACAACAAACAGACAGGGGCAGCACAAAGAAACAGTAGGCAGCCGTCCTAGCACACCAGCAGTCTAGCAATTGTTGAATAATTGTTGCCTAGCATCGCCACTCACGTGAGTTTAAGGCGAGATTTGAAAGACTGAGTCAAGTTCAAGGTCACAGTCTTTGTCTGTAAGGTACCCAGTGGCCTGGGCCCAGGATATCTACAAGATCAAGCAACATTTTGAGATAAAGATCCAAGGTAAACAATTCCACTCCTCACAGTGGAAACTTTCTGCCATAAGGGTAAAGTTTGCGCTTTCTCAGGGCCAGTCCAACACTGTAGAATAAAATCCCACAAGAACTAAGGGCTATCCCAAACCTCACCACCTTTCACTCCAAGTGCAAAGTGCTAGTCTTTGATCTGCTTTCCCCGAATATAAACACGGAGCAGTGTGTACATGTATTTTAAAACAAAACCAAAAATGCTCCCTACCAAACCAAACTCTCCTCTACGCACATGGTTCTTCCCCTGTGAAGAGGATGAGAGAAAGAACAAATCACACATGATGGAGTTTAGTTACAGGACTCAGTGTGCTACCACAAACCACTCAGATACTAGGGTGTTGTGGGTGGTAGAAGTACCTCACTAGAACAGAATGACAACGTAATGGCTTTTTGGAGACCTTTTAGGAGAAACTCCTCCCATGCTGGGGAGAAAGACGTATAGTGTTTGCAGGAAACTAAAGTGATAAAAAATAAAAGTCAGCATCATTCACTGAGCTGGAATTGATGGCTTCAAACTATATGAGAAATGCTCGGTAGGTGGAGGCTAATCTGGGAGGGCCTTAAAATGTTTGATGCTGTGGAAAAGGGGAACTAGTGGCAAGACACAAGTGGGTTGGAGGGAAATAACAATATTTGATCTCCTAATGTATTTATCAGTAAACATTATGGGACTCATTCTCATATACACTAAAATAACATTAATTGCACAAGTAGTGTAAAGGAGCCTTAAAGTGAGTATAAATATAATTTTCTCTCACTTTAAGGCCCCTTTATTCTGCCAGGCGCAAAGTCTATACATATGTTGCTCTATATGTGGGACTGGAAAGAGTTTAATTACATTTTTTAAAAGGGAAAAAATCATTTTGCCTATAAGTTTCAGGGCAGGGGGAGACACTTGTTTTCATTATTGGTGCAGCAAAGGGAAAATATGAGGGAGAAAAAAGAAAATGAGAGGGTAAGGTATTAATTGGCAATTTCCTGTAATACACCTTCAAGCAAAATGCTAGAGCAGAATGACAGGATGGCTTCTTTTTCTCCCCTTTATTTATTATAGAATTGGCTCATGGCCAATTACCGAGTTCTGTCATTGTAGAATGAACAGTCGAGGCAGAAAGGGAACATGCCCTCTGCAAAGCGCATCCATTTCATAAATACCGTTAAACAATGAAGATCTTATGAAACCTATTTTCACAGAAGATGGGCCGGGGAAAGGAAAAGGAATGTGTTTTTATTTAAACCAAAAGACTGATGAAAAGGGAAAGCACAAGGAAGATCAAAACAAAGTGCTTTTCCAAATCGCCACAGCCCTTCGATGCCAGCTCAACATGACAAGTCGTCAAATATTAGGAATTTTTTTAATATAGGACCACAATCGTTATTGACGTAAGCACATTGGGCCAGATCCCCAACTGGTGTAAAGCTGCATATCGCCATTGAAATGAAACCCTCCAGCAGGATAAAAAGTCACTAGAGCTATGATGGTTTATACCCGTGGATGATTTAGCCCTCTGGTCTCAGTGCATAACATCAGGCATTAGTTTGGCCCATCAGTCCAAATCCTAAAGTTTGTCTGCAGGACGGATCAGCGTCTATCTGAGAGTGACACAGAGACAGAAGCTGAAGGAAAGGGAGAGGAAAAAGTCTGCATAGCCCCAGTTCAAAGAGAACTCAAAAATATTTTTATTGCGTCCTATAAACCATAAAAACATTTTTATTTATTTTCGTATTGAATGTTAATTGAAATCGTCAAGAAAGAACACACAAAGAGGAGGAGAGAAAATGCTCCTGGCACTGTTTCAGCAAAAAAAGCAAAATGACAAACATATCTGGAAAAAAAATCAATACAAAAATACAACCGATTTCGATGTTGCTTGAGTTTTTAAAAAAATATTTAATAATTATTTTCCCTGAAGCTTCAAGACAGGAATGACCAAGTGACACAGAAATGGCAGTGGGTTTTTTCATTTTATTTTATTTAGGTTGCATGCTCCAAGCAAAACACAAAACTGTATTCTACCACTGTATAACGCAAGGTACCTGCAAATCCTCCCCTAGGTGTTTCATTGGCTTATTAAGTTGTAGTGATGGAGGGCTGGAGAATGAAGTTTTTTTTTGGGAAGATTCTCCCGGCCACATGCAGCTCAGTACAGCTGTTACTAAACTCAGATATTTTTGTAACTTATTTCTGGACTTCTGTCCTGACCTGAAACCTATTGAAGCGAATGGGAGTCTTTCCACTGACTTTGCTGGCTTTCAATCCAGGCCTTAATTGCTCCTAGCACAGCACCCTTCCTTCCTTCCCCAGTAAAACCACCATAGCTATAAATGCTCTTAAATATGAAGAAAACTGAACAACTTAACCCAAACTGTAGCTTTGCTACTCATCTTCTGAGTTACATGAGAAAGTCATGGCTCTATGTGCTGCCACTGTTCAAATGAAATGGACCAGATTTTCATATACTCGTTACTCGAACTGGTCAAAATTTTGCAAACACACTTTTGAGGAGAAATATGGCCTTTTTAAAAAAAAAGTGAAAAATTTCAGGAAAAACTCAACCTTTTGGTTTTGTTTCTCTTGAAACCTTGCACTATTTTCAATAAAACTCGTATCAAAAATGTCATAGACATATTTTATGTTTTGAAAACCTGGTTTTCAGTAAACAAAAAAACCTGATAATATTTGCAATAAAAATTTCAAATAAAACACTTTGATTAAAGCTTGTCGGGACTGTTTTTGAAAAAAACAAGCAAGCAAAAAACAACTGGTCTGTTTTTGTAGCTGGCACAACTGAACCAGTTTTGAAATTTCAAACTCTTTCACAGTTCTACTCAGAAAATGGCTCTCTTGACAAACAATCACGGCCAGACTGTCAAAACAGCTCAGTGTTTAATGTGGCCACATTTGCCAGTATGATCACCTATTTTCGTGACTAAATGGAGCTAAACTCTTTTGAAAATCTGGCCCTATAAATCCTGCTATATTTCAGTAAAATTATTTTGTGAGTATCCAATGAGCTGTGGGCAGAGAGATAAATCAGGGCTCCCTGCTGGGGAACAGCAGCTTAGCTGAGCCTTCCTTGCACCTTCTCCTGTTATCATCATTAACTCAGTCATGACATTTGGACTGCAGACAATTTTCTCCTCACTTGCTGTATTGCCATTGGCTGCTGCTCCCAACTTTCCCCTCCCCCTGTAGACCCTCCTGATGCACAACCTCATTCTTCCTGCCCATCACACATCCCACAATCCTCTCCTCTTCCCCGAGCTCTTCAACTTCCATTCATTTAGAAAAGAAAGAAAATCAGTGTTGGCGTTTGAACGTTTTTCAACAAATGTGCGTAACCCTTGCCTCTAAAGTATGTGACAGGGTAGGGAATACCGACGAGAGCACCTCCTGGAACCAAAGATATTAAAACATTCCAGGGAAATGTATTCCAAAGGTCTGCGGGGGTTACAGATTAATGCATTTCTGTGATTCAGAGGCTGCTGATTACATCCCTTTCACCACTTCTCTGCTCATTAACTTATTTCTCATGTCGAACTGGGCTTTCTGGAGGGGGTGTTGATTTAAATGATGGATAGATTAGTGATCTAAGTGGAAAAAATTGGTACATTCCATTTTGCTCATTCCCGGCTACACTCAGCCCAAGTAATCTCTTCCCCAGCCCAGCCCCCATTTCTTGGACAGGTTTCTTTTGCATGTTCTGACTTCCCTTTGCAACCTGTACTCAAAAAATGTTTTATCTTTCTTTTAGGGTCTGCATGCCCTTCCCAGGGAAGACTCATGACAGCAGAAGGTAGATAAAGAAGCCTGATAGTGTTGATAAGAATTGATGCAATGGGGTAAATCCTGCCCATGTTAAATCCGTTTATACACGGCAGGGCTACAGATTGTGCTTTGGGCAAACAACGAGGAAGGATGGTCTTGTGCTTAAGGGAACAGACTGGGAATCTGGAGATATGACTTCAATTCTCATTTTAGCCACAGATTTTCTGTGACACCTCAGATAGGCCATTTAATCTCTCTGTGCCTCACTTTCTCCATATGTAAAATGGAGATAATAATACTTCATTTCTGTCACCCTTTGTCTTGTCAATTTAGACTGTAAAATCTTCAGGGTGGGGTCTCTTTCTCTTACTAGGAGTATGTACAGCACCTAACACAGTGAGGCCTTGATCGCAGTTGAGGCTTCAGGCATTACAGTAATACAAATAAAGAAAAACATTGAGAAAGCCATATCACCTCAAAGAAAGAAAGAAAGAAAGAAAGAAAGAAAAAGAAAATTTGTGCCCTTAAAAACAGGACACGCATTCTGGAGATTCTGCCTGTGTGGTATTGAGAGATATGTTACTTATTTCTAATTCTGTCAATGGGTTTAGCTTGGTTCCTGGTGTTTATGTAAATGGTGTCAACTCTAGAAATACAGAAATAAATCTATGTAGATCTCTGTGGGCCAGATACCCAGCCAGCATATATCAGCATAACTCCATTGACTTCAATGGAGCTTCTCTGATTTACACTTGCTGAGGATCTAATTCTAGGAATGCTGGCCTCTATTAATGTATTCCTTTACACTATGCTGTTTCAAGGAGTAAAACAACTTGCAAATATCGGTATATTGGTAAGTGTGCTCATTGTGGGTGCACAAACCCCATGTAACATCCTCTCCCCCCACTCATGTCCTTCACACTGGGTAAGCATATGTGGCTTCATCCGCCTCCCACTGACGAGCCCAGTGGAGGTTTATTTTGATTTCAGTGAGAACTCAATGGGTCCTAAGTGAAGTTTAAGTGCAAGTGTCCTTTGACCAGTATTCTGTACTGGAGTGAATTTCCACCTATGTATAGGGTATGTTTATTTTTTATTTGGCCTATCTAGTCTACAAGAGGGAAGGAATTCATTGGAGGGGAACAGTCAATCAAGGACTGATCTTTGACAGGGCTTTTGGAAAACTCAGCCTATTTCCAGTACATTAGGCTTTTAGATAATGGGGAAATTTTTCAAAAGCCCCCAAATTACTTAAGTCCCTTTGAAAGTCCTTGTGACTTGGGCTTAGAGGTCAGATAGGCAATGTTTGAAAATTTTACCCTATATATTTACAGGATGATTGAGTTCATCCAAGGATCTTGTGATTCTTTACAAATATAGAGCCAGATACTCAGTTAGTGTACATTGACATAGCTCCATTGAAACAGAGAGGCAGTAATGTCTAATGAATAGGGCAATGCACTGGGACCCAGGAGAGCTGAGTTTTCATCTCAGCTCAGTCACTGGCCTGTTGGCTGACCCCAGGCAAGTCACTTTAACCTCTCTGTGCCTCAGTTTTCCCATCAGTAAAATGGGGATAAAGTGTTTTTAGCTCTCCTGATGAAAAGTGCTATATAAGAGCTAAGTAGTATTATTACTCTGATTACATCTGCTGAGGATCTGGCCCATGGAGTCAAAGACATTTGAGGCTTGGACTCTTCTGGCCTAAACAAGCTTTTTCCTTCCAGGGCTTTTGTGATGGGTTTGGTCACAGACCCCTTGGGATTGTCACCTGATGTGCTGAAATTACCTCTGAGCCCATTTTCTCTGCCAGCTTGGGATTCCAGGACCCTGCCTTGTTGAGCCAGACACACTAGCCTGCTGCCACACATACTGATCTGGTCTGATTCATGCCTGCAAAGCTGAGATTCCCCTATATATTTCCAGCTTTAAGGGCAATTTTCAGACAGGTAGGGATGTCATCCAGTGTCTTAGACTATTTCAATTTGCATGAGCACAGTATCTACCTATCCTAGAGGTTTGTATGGCCACCCATCACCTTGGTATCTGAGTGCCTTCCACATAAAATCAATAGCAAAGTCCCTAGTGGGCCTCATGGAGCATCTGGTACTTCACCCATCATGAGGTCAGGCTGCTGTGGCGGTTGAAATTTATTCTGTTCTTCTTGACTTCCTGCCCTTAATTGCTTGAAATGGCTATTGTGTTTCATTGCACAGACGGCTGCATTTCACTCTTGGGCAAAGTGAGTCTAAATGGGTTAAAGGCTCTGATTGTACCCTTGTGTGATGCCCTACACCTTAGTAGAGGGCAGCTCTTGGTTTTGAACTCCACAGAGCTGGCTCTGTGTATCTGAAGCCCAAAATTCCATTGGCCTTTTTCACAGCCATGATCCTATTGCAAACATTGTCCAAACCTCTTGTTTCAGTGCCACTGCTTCCCGTTGGGTGTATGAGGTTTGGATTTTCTCCTCTAGATGTGTATGCCTTGTGTTTTTCCAATATAATCTCAGTTTGTTCCTTTATATCCAGGATTCAATTCCTGCTACATTCCGTTATATTCACTACTACTCACAAGTCCGCCTAGTATATTTCATTTATAAATTAAGCCTCACATCCCCTTGAGAGTTCGTAAGGTGGAGGAAGTATTTTCATTTCCATTTGACAGAGGAAAATGAGGCCCAAAGATTGTGATGACTTGTCCAAGGCTTATACAGGAAGTCAGTGGTAGAATCAGGAAAAGAATCTGACAGTCCCACGCCCTAGTCACTAGACAATACTCCCCCCAGTAAGACAATTTTTATGCTTCATGCTATGCCACACACAGACTCAAATCACTGTAAATTTTCATGTGGCTATCAACCTGGAGTGGGGAGACTGAGCCAGTTTGAAGGATGGGGAGAGTGCTGGCATCTGAGACTGTCATAGTTATGTTAAAAAGGATTGGACACATGCAGTTGTATTAGCTAGGATAAAATTCAAAAGGTTATCAAATTTCATGCTTCAGGGTATAAACTGATCATCAGCTGGAGTCAGGAAGAAAGTCACCTGTAGTAATTGTATGAGCTGGGGCAAGCAGAGTGATAAACCTTTTAATTTTATTCTAGCCGATATACTTTTAGTGACATGTCTAGAATTTTACATCTTATTCTGCAGCATCTGAAATTGGTCATTCTCAGAGATTAGATGAACCAATGGGTATCCTGTTCTATGGGAAATCCATCGTTTTAACTGGCCCTGAATTCCTGTGTGATAATAGAGTAGTAAGCAATCCAGTCTCCTTAAGAGGCAAGCTGGCCAAAAACTCCATGCTGAAAGGAAGATTTTTCTATTACATTTTGCAACATTTTGCTCTGTTTAGCTCAAAAGCTTGTCCCTTTCATAAACAAAAGTTGGTCCAATAAAAATTTTTACCTCACTCACCGCATCCGATGAAGTGAGCTGTAGCTCACGAAAGCTCATGCTCAAATAAATTGGTTAGTCTCTAAGGTGCCACAAGTACTCCTTTTCTTTTTGTTATCCTTTTGTCCATTTATCTGAGATTGTGGCCCAATCTCCATGACCCATTCAGTCACTGGTCTTTCTCCAAAGACTACCAAGTTTGATAATGGATAATGGATAGTGGACAACTTTAAAACATATCCACAGGAATTAGGTGTGACCATCAATGCTTTCATGTAGGATACATAATAGGAGAGAGATGTTAAATAATATTTATTGGCTTTTAGATTTCAAACACTTCCTGGGGTTTGTATTGCTTACATTGAGTTACTGATTTTAAGTTTTACCTAGCAGGTAAAGTAATTTGGAAACACACACAGTGTAAATGTAAAGTATTCTTGCCAGGAGGTGCAAAGCTCCCAGTATTAATTCTCCCAGCCATTCAGTCCACTCATCTTTTGATTGGGATTTTTTTTGTCCCCGATGACTGAAAAAGAGAGGAAAGTGTATCAGAGCAAGTGGGCGGGGCAGATTACAGAAAAAATTACTTAGACAATCGTGGAAGTAAAACACATAGTTTCAAAAGCCAAATCTTTTCAACTACAGCTATTAGCTGCTTCTCATCTATCTCAGATAATAGTGAATAGACTGTTAAAAATATCAGATAGCAACTATACGATTCTTCACAAAAATAGAACAATTTACTATGTTCACATCTCTAACAAACATGAAACTGATGTAAAGAAACAACAGCTGCCATTTATTTTCTTGTGGAGATATAATTGCTAATGATAGAGGCTAATTAATACCATTCTGTGAATAGCATGAAGACATCGGAGATATTAATTTTTTGGTCTGAAAAGGAAACAAACACGGTGGAAATATTTTTTGATCTAAAAAGACTGCTTAAATGTTTCCTTTAAAGATTGAGAGAGAAAAATCACCAGGGTTTTCTAGACAAACATAATGAAAGTTACCCTTATACGGTTGTAGCTTTGATTTTTCACATTAATATAACCTCCTCCTGGAAATGTTCTGCTTCATGCACTATTTTCTGATGCCAAAGGGCTGCCACTTAATTACTTGGCTTTAAACACCAAAGTAAAGAGGTTTCTAAACCAGACCAGCAGATTTCAAAAATGATACTGTTGCCTGTTGAGCTTCTGTAGAAACAGCACAGAGCAGTTATTTTTCCTAAATGGTTTTCTAGCTCACACTGAAAGTTTGTTTCCAGCTAAAAATTTTTGAAGTAGTTTTCTTTGCTGAACCTGGACTATGCACCATCTTGTCTACTGACGTGTTAATTAGTCAATATGGGTAGTACAGAAGCATCCAAAAGATACTAGGCACTGTACAGATGTACAGGACACAGTCCCTGCCTGACCCAGCCTGTGATGTGGCACTGGAATGCTCAGATCCCACCTCAAGCCAATGGTGTAGCTGCAGCAAACCTCTCATGTAGACAGTCAAAGCCACTGTTTGCATCAATTTGCTTGAAACACAGGTAAATATAACTATGAAAATGCTGGTTTACAGCAGTTTATCCTGTGTTCGCTATGAGTTTGTACTGATGCATCATGCAGCTGCACTA